TTTGAGAATAAACTGTTTGTTACCTGAAACTTCTCTTTTTTCCTTTCATTTATCCACCAGTCTGTCACAACTGGTGACACCGGTGGTATGGAGATCGAGAACTGTGTAGAGTCACGACCTAAGGCGAAGCGGAGACATCTGCGGAACAGCAGGCCAAGCCGACTGCGAAATGCACGTGTTAGCTCGGGCAACCAATCAGCATGGGCTAAGCGAAAACTCAATGTGTTCGCAGTTGTAGAATGAAATATTTGTTTCCTGAGTCTGTTCTTCTTTTCTTTCATGTATCCGTGGGACTATGAATATTAGGGTTTTCAGGACAACGATTTTTGTCTGCTGCACCCGTTGCATTTTCTACCGCCGCATGTCTAATCACCTACCTACGGTGTCGCAATGGGTCCGTGTGCTTGGAGTTGATTTCGCAGACGGTGAACTTTTCAGGAATCTGAATTCTCATTGCCTATACTAGATTATAAACGAATTTTACTGTGCTAAGATAAATTGTTCCAGACGATTGACGGAGAATGCCTGATAAATTCTGTTTCATTTTTAAGTTTTCGTTTTAATCCTTGGACGCTCCTACACCAGAAGTCCATCATTGCTGAATTGGGATTAACCAAAAATACAGTGAAAGGGTACCGTTACATTTTCAGAAAAAAGTAAACTTGCCTGAAAATAAGCTTTTGGGTGGCTGTTGATGCAATTCATCAGTGTGAGCGAAAAATCATAGCTTACCTTTGCTTTTTTTACGCAAGTGGGTCTTTTCCCAGGGAATGCTTTATGTCTTTTTCGTGGCAACGGACTGACTTTCGAAATCAGCCTGGTTTTTTTCCGGAATTTAATCCAATGGTAGTACCCATTTCGGGTATCATCAATAAGAAAAGCTATAAAAGGCACTCAGTGGAAGGTTTTTCGAAAATGGGATAATTAAAGACGAAGCTTGGCTTTGCCGCATGCAGTCACAACAAGCTCTAAAGCCCAGCTTAAAGGAAGTGCATGCTAACCGTTTTTGCAAGTCTTTTACGGTAGAAGACGATAGCGAACATCTTCCTTTGGGTATATTTGTGAAAAAAGGCTTTTCGTCACTTTTTGACCGTAAAGTCTGAAATATTTGCATGTGTTCATCAGGTCATACTCCATCAGGAAAAGGAGGTTCCTGTCATCATTGGCTATTTCTACTTCATCCAGCCACGCAAGAGCTGCACCCTCTGCTGCCGTGGCCCTTTTGGCAGGATCAACTTCAAGGAACTTGCGCAAATATTCCCCAATTTTTGGGCCACAAGACGAAAGTATCGGATGCGAAAAGGCCCGTTCTAACCTCGGCTCCACTGGCTCCTTGATATCGTTTAAAGTCTCGTACTGAAAATAATTAACTCCGGTAAGTATAATCAGAGCTATTGCACCTATGCTCCAGACGTCCATAGCGGTTGTGCCAAATAATTCATTGTCATCCTCCGGGTTTGGAGCGCTTTTTGGTGGTTCGTTTTGAGCCTTCAGTAAGTCCGCTATTGCTTCCGGGGCGGCACAACTTATACAGCTGAGCATAGGGTCGTTGAGAAGATGCGAGATTTCCTTTTTCACGCTCAAATCTGGCAGCACCACAAGAGAGTGAGGAGATATTGTTTGAAATAAAATATTCGTCGGTTTCAGGGAACCGTGCGTGTAGCTCTTTCCATGAAGAAACTGGAACGCCTGGAACAATCCGTGGATTATCAAGAACACATCTCGGAAACGTAAGTGCTGCTGCTGAAGCATCCAGTTAAACAGATCACCAAAAAGACACATCTCTGATATCACAACCACCCGCGTTGGTTCGAGGACGAAATCCAGCATTTTCATTACTGCTGGATGTGAAAGTGCCTTTATCCTTGCCACTTGCTTTCGAACCTTGCTGGTCACTCGCCGCTGAAGTTGAATGACATCCGAGAAGCAGTTGCCTAGTTGGGCAAAATCAACCTTTTTGACAGCCACAGCAGCCCCTGAAGTGAGGTCTCGAGCCGCGATGACTGTACTGAAGCCGTCAAAATAAATTTCGCGGTAGACAAGTAATTTTTCCTCATCGAAAGCTGGTGCAGCGAGAGCCAAATTTCCGTTTGAATTCTCATCGCGACTCACAACAAATGGCATGCTGCATAAAATATGTCATGGAAATTATGACACGTTTAGAGCAATCAATAAGGCCACGTGCGGCCCGCTTTGAATTCCCAAAGACGCAAAGGATAGTATTTATGATATATTTGAGTGTTTTTAATTATAATGACGATTAGACTATTTTGGAATACGGTGTGACGACACTGTTCAGCATACGTCGCAATGCCTAACCTCTATGCGAGATTTACAGATATGCAGGATTCAATAAAGTGCACTTTCGGATTCATCTCAAGCCACCTCACACACATCAGCAGATTTTCTCAGCGTATATGTCTTTTCATTCATACATAGAAAATGTTTTTGAGTTGCCTTTTTATTTTATTCCAAAAAATCACTTATTCAGGCTAACTTCGAGTAACGATTCATAATTGGAGGTCTTTTTCGCAGAATTTTGAGATAGCATTATGATACTGAATTTGCGTCCAAGTTCTACCATATATTAAAAAGGATTCTGCTCGTTGAATCCTATTAGGTGAATACAGGAAGTTCAAACTGAATGTATGAAGATGTTCTTCGAAGAACGTCAGTAGCAAAAAGCTTAAAAATAAGGCGTTGATGCACAGGAAGCGAAACCCTTTGTCTAAATATAAAAATTACCGTCTATAATGTAAGCTGGAGATAGTTTCTAGAGACTTCCCCACTGCAGCAAATATCACCGGGAATTGGTTTGTCACGGAGGGCTAACCACAAGTGTCTGCGGAAGCCGCCAAAGAAGTTGAAGAATAAATTGTGAGTCTTAATTTCTTGTGGGGGTTTCTTTAGCAGGCGCGTATGAAAATGTCAAATAACGGGGGTGGCTTTTCATATGCATAAGTTCTGCATAGAACACACATCCACCCTGCGATAAATGGCCAAAAGTGCAGTCGGCCCCACACGCTATGTTAGTTATTTGCGTCCAATTTGCAATGTGAACAGAAAAAAATGTTTTAGTCTAGGAGACAGCACGTTTACATATCAGCCAGTTTCTGCCTAAATCAGATCGCTTTAGTACCGGATCCCTGCCAGCACACGCCCAAAACTGGGCGGGGGTGACGACGGGGGTGAGGACGGGGATATGCGAGTTGAAAACCTCGTCCTCATCCCCGTCGTCACCTTTCTGATCACCCCCTATCTCCCGGAATTGTGACGGGGGAATCCGGGGGTTTGGCTGGCAGGGCTGAAGTTTCTATGGTCCTTTGAACTATTTTGCATGACACTGAGTGCCAGAGTAAGGAAGAGGATAGACCTTATAGTCCACGGTTTTCATCTAAATATCTCACTTTGAATGTTAGGTATTCTGAACGTCCCCCCCTCAGTAACTTCAGGAGTTTTCTTAAAATGACCGTCGTTCATTAAAAAAATCCGCAAATGTTTATTACTAATTAAATATTAAAAGAGGACAGATAGAAATTTCTTACTCCACTTCAAATAATTCGACCGCCTCATGATACTGCTTAGCCATGCAAATCGGCGGTCGCCATAGTTAATCCGGCAAAAGTAGCTCATGTAGCCCGACTCATATACCCCTAGTCCCAGCATTTTGTCCTGCAAAAACGGTGGTTATAGACTTTGGGGGGTAGGAGAATAGGATAGGCAGAGAAGGAAAATTTTAGAAGTAAGTGAAAAGTGAAAAAAACGTAGTCTAAGTTGCTTCCCGCGGCCGCTGGGAGTAAATTGTTCCACATGTAAATTGACGGTGTGCGCGGTGCTTGGCGCCGCGGACTACACTTATCTAACTCCAGAACGGTAAATTGGGCCTTAGGTAAGTTGAAGTAAACGACCTCCTTACCACCATTTCAAATTTTCGGGAAATTCCAGAAACCTTCAATTTTATAATAGGGTTTTTCCGCAATAAGTTAGACGATAATACAGATTAGGAAAATCTACAGATAAAAGAGCAACAACACTTCTAAATACAGTAAAATAAAAGTGCATTTGGCAC